CCACGTCTTGTCAGGCAAAGTCCAGCAAAGCCTCCGATGCCCTTAGTCATGATGAGGACTTCATGCGCAGAAGAAGGCTTCGGATCCCAGAACCTAGGCAACACTGTGATGTCATCAAAATCATCAGCGGTAGTCAGGTAGTCTCGGAAGAGGAAGTTGGCAGACCCACTAGACTTGAGGACATCTGAGCGAGAAGCCACCGGGAGCTTGATGATGCACTGAAAGTTCTTATATCATCCTTACCAGCCGTAGGGTGTCTGCCAATTGCGAAAGGCGTACATGTTGGCTTTGTCACAGCAATCCGGATGAATTTGAGCGAAGTGGTGCTTGAGGAAATGAATTTGCTGCTGTTGAGCTTGCTCAGTAAGTTGAGGACCAATGAGTCTGGAATCTGCATCCATGACAAGCTCTGCAACCTCCGTGGCTGTAAGTTGGACCTTGGGGTCAGGCAGCTTGTAAGTAACGGTACCATGCAATTGCCAGAGAATGACAAGGCGCTTGTAGGCCGTTTTTGCCTGCACATCTCGTAAGGGCCGATGATTTTGAGCCCAAGTTCACTGTACTGATTCTTGTCATTGCCAGGAAGGATGACCAACATTGTAGCACACGGAGTGATTCTCGCAAGCTCCTGAATGGGTAGCCAACACAGCTCCGGCTTTCTTGGCGCTGGCTTGTAGCCGATGAACCTGTGGAACAGACACTCCCTTCTCATCCAGCAGCGGGTGGTCAGTAGGGATGGTAAGATCCTCCCATCTTGTCTGGAAGAGCTTTTTGGGGTTCTTGAGCTTGGCAGACTTGGAGGCCCACACATCATTGATTTGGAGCTGGTCGATCTTGTCAGAGCCAGCAACATCTTTGCCAGTCGATGTAGTCTTCTCAGTTCCACCTCCTGCAGCATATTGAAGAGCACCTCTATTGGCAAGAAGATAGTGGAGGAAGTTAGTCCGCATCCGCACAAGGCTGGCAAAGTTCGTAATCCGAGGAAACGAAGAGGATAAGGTCCAGACCAAACGAGCCCTCTCAATAGTGCTTCGAATCTGCACCCGGAAGCGCGACAAGTTGATGGTTTGCTGAACTTCGTTTGCCAATGTTGGTACAGCAATACGAAGGCGCTCACACAATGAGTGAAGGAGAACCCATCGACGCATGTTCGGCTCAGGATTGCAACGAACGATATGCACTTGGCAGGTGAGCTGAGCTTCATCAATTTGAGACATGATGAAGGTAGCAAGGGGCCCTGCATGATGGGCGAGGGCATCCGGCAAACTCATAAACAGAGTCATAGTGTCAGCTGTAGCATGTGCATCAATCTGAGTCCAGCACTGCTCAATAAGGATGAACCACGTGACATGCTGATAGGCTCTGAAATCTCTTCGTTGGTCGTCAAAGTAGAAGAGGTGGCCAGAGGCTGAATCCCATCTTGCCGGCGGCATGAAGCAGAATTGAGGCCGTTGAAAACGGATCGTCTGGAGAACAAAGTCAAGCTCGTCAGAGCCAAGCCAGCCCGGATAGGAGTTGAAGTGCTGGATGCGATGGTGCATGTGGCTGTCAGGGCTATCAATGTGGATAGCTGGAGTCTCCTCAGGTTGTGGGCCAATGGCAACATCATCGAAAGTGACAGTGATGGCTTCATGCAGGACTGCATTGCCCCTCAAAGTGGTGGTGGCCAGAAAGCTGGAGAACGCTCGTCGCAGCATGGCTGCAAAGAACCAAAGCCCATGCGGGATGCCATGCTGGTTCCAGTCCTCAATTGAATCCTCGATGACATCATCAATGATAGCACGCGCAGCAATCGAGGTAGACGCATAAAGGTCACCATTCAGCGGTATGTGATCCAGCATCCCTGCAGCCGTAGACCACCTATGGAGCAGAGACCACCCACAGAAGTGATTGGCATCATCCAGGGGAACATGACTATACTGGATCCGTTCAGGTGTGATGTCCAAGAGTTCAGCAACAACCTGCAAGCCACTTCTGAGTAGAGGACCAGGGAGGCCAACGAAGGTGACATGAGTATTGGCACCTTCCCTCTGAATCTCAAAAGCTAGCCAGTGGGACCCTGACAAGATCGGAAGGATGTTGAGTCTGTTGTTGGCAATGAGAATCTCCTGGTAATCATTTGCGTCAAGATTGGCCGTTTCCAAATTCCAACGAATGGCAGGATGGAAAATGGCAAAGTCAGGTGCCAGCCATGTCAGTTGCCGAAGGAAAAATGCCATCTCATCAGAGGCCATCCAGCCACCGGTATTGCTGGCGAATTCAGCTCTTTGCAAGAAATTTGCCCCAGCCGGAATGGTGGTAGACCTAGTTCCATGATGTCCTCCACAATGAATGTTGTTCTGCAAAGACAAGTGCAGGAAGGAGTGGTGGTGGTCCAGGATCAGTTCCATTCTTCAAGGTGATGTAGTAGAGCTGGGAGCCCAGTTCGAAGAGTGGACAAGCCTGTCCTCAGTGAATTTGTGAAAGATAACACCATGTGGTTCAAGTCCAAGTGGATGGTCCTGATCACAAATCTTGAAGGCGAATTGCTGGGTGTCCTGGTCAAGGTGATCCCACAGAGTACGAATGCAGCGTAATCGAGCTTCCGAGTCACCAAAGCCATTGAAGGTGAGAGTGCAAGGGGTCGCCCCAAAGGTGACGGTGAAGATGGTTGCAGTCGAGGAAGATACATCAATGCAGTTGTTCTCAATGAGAGAGAGAGAGAGAGAGAGAGCAAACTGGAACTGAGTGTCAGCAAAGAGATCATCTTCGGCAACAAGCTTGAGGCAAAATGGAACAGCGGTCTGCTCTTAGCGGATTGGCGGAACCTCCTGCCAACTTTGAGTCGGTGCACAGATGTCTGGGCAATAGTCTGACGTGGATTGAGCTTCTCTCCAGAGTGGCTGCGATATAGATGTGAGCCGAGATGTCAAACTTCCAAGTGAAGCATTTGAGGAGGTCAGTGACAAGCCATGACGGGTTGACAATAAGGGAGGCAATCCTGCCATTGACATGCCGGCAGCACAGTGTGACATGGAAGTCGTTCACCAACAGGTCACTGTGGATGTTGATTTGCTCAATGATAATGTCAATGTGAGCAAAGATATAGAAGTCATGTTGCTCGATGATGATCGCTTTCTGGCCCACAAATCTCCTTTGCCAAATTTTGTTGACTGCTCCATTGACATCAAGACCCCATTGAAAGAGGTAGTCAAGGCCAGCAAGTAGAACCAAGAGTGCATGTGGTGTCGCAATGGAGTTCCCAATCTGGCGATAGAGAAGTTGCAGCTGATTGGACAAGACCGTTGGTTCAAATAGGCCAAGCATCGCAGCCAACGGCGCAGGGTCAAGGAATTCAGGTCCTGCATCACCTTCTTTGAGTGTGGCAAAAATGCCCTTCTGCTCGAGGAGGTGTCGAGGTAGAAGATGTTGAAAGCCATATGCAGCACAGACCGTAGGCACCGGTTCATGAGGCTGGAGGAATCTCGCGCGTAGGATGACCTCAGCTGGTGCGGCAGGGTCAAACTTGGCTCTCTTGGCTGGTGGTAGTAACGAATGCTGTGCATAGGCAGACCGAACCTGAGACGGGATGGCAATTTGGTCAGACAGCGACCTGGGGAGCTGGAAACGAAAGCAATCCGAAGTCCATCGATCCGGCAGGACAGACTTGAGACACGGCACAGGTTTGGGGCCATGATGGACAATGTCATGTCGAACGAAGATCGCAAGCCACTTGGACCGATGCATGTGAACAAATGCATGGTAGTGGACTACATCTTCCCAAATTCCGACATAGCCTAGATCACGAAGCATAAGGCTGACGATCTGGAAATGGTGATGCTGAGCCAGAGCATCAACACATTCCAAAGCCAAGATGACAGGTTGGCCCATCGCACACTGCTTAATCGCCTCTACAAATGACCATCCCTCAGGGCAGTTAAGCCCACGGCCAAAGCCACCCTTGCTCCATGACACACAAGGCGGGGAGGCTGAAAATACCAAATTGGAGAGTGGCTGTACACTGTGCAATATGGTGGGGTCAGCTACATCCCCTTGGATGACACGGTTTAAAGTGATTTCAAATGCCTGGCTGGCAGTCAGTGGCGCCTGAACAGGTTTGGATCCATGTTTCATGGACAGAGCAGCAATCACATCACGATCAAGGTCGACGAAAACCTGGGCGCCGATTGTAGCCTGGGGCATGGTCCATGGAATAGTGGAGGTCGCTTGGCCCCACCCAGAAAATGCCCCGGCGAACAAATGCAGGCATTCAATGGCATCATGTTCAACGGCCAAGGTTCTCTTGACAATAGTGACCGAGCTTTCCCCTTTCCAGGTGCCATCCTCAAGGCGAGCAAGCGGCCCAGCGAAGATGCAGCACTCACCACAAGCAATGCTAAGCGATCTCCTGGCTGAATCGTGGATCACCACCTTGGTGTCAAAAGCAGGCCCATCCAAATGAAAACCACGTCCCTTGACAAAGGGAAACAGCGAGGCTTCAAAACAATCTTCACAGAGGATTTTGCAATCCTCCCAGTCCAGCGAGGGACCACCATCCAATCCTCGAAAGATCATGCGAGCGCGAGAGCGCCACGGATCATCCAAAAGATCCAAGTTGCAGCTGAGGTCCGTGGCAGAAAAGCTAGGAAAATCACCACAACAAAGATCCTAGAGAGACTAGGTGCCTACAGGAGAAGCAGGCTCTTTGGACGCCCTCCTCAGGTCGCGAGACCTGCAAAAGGGCCCCGGCCCCCGTGAGGCGTGAGCCCTAGGGTCTTGAACCCAGAAGGCTGTAGTCTATTCTGTTCATGTTCGTTGGTCCATGTTTAGGATCCTTGTGAATGCGAACGTAGTTTGATCTTGTATATACGCACATACAATCACCTCAGGGAAGAAATCCTGCAACACCACCTCAAGAGTAGCACGCTGGGGAATCTCTGCAGTTTTGTTGTCCACTTCTACGTGGTGTAGGATGTCTTGTTCAGTTCCAGCCTGACTTGGAGGGTGTTTGTTCAGTCCAGGACCCGTCGGCGGTGAGCAGCCGGAGTGGCTTGGCGGGGTGTGGTACCTCCGAAGCAAACGCTGAGCTCATAAGGGTCTCGTCATGGCTCAAATTCCAAGAGGTTTTGGGGGATTTATTATAACGTATATAATCAGAATCTCCCTAAGACCTATTCAGGAGAAATCAGAGATATAGATTATAGATCAATGTCCCCCGACTTCTTTATGGTTTGTCCCCACTCAGGGTGAGGTGTGGCACCCACAGGCGCCCTGACGGGTTCGAACCCTGAGAATCTGAGGCAGCCAAGTCCATCCGTCAGTTCAACCAGTGCGACCACGCATTGAGGCCAACAGCATCCGCATGGAATGACCGGACTTGGCTAACAGCATCGGCCATGCCTTGCAATTCACCAGCCATCCTGGGTCCTCACATGCATTTGATTGCGTAAGGATATGGAAATCAGGGTGTTTGTCCCCCGATCTCTGCGGATGCCCCCAGTTCACATGCAGACTCTATTGGGGACATCACCAATGGGACCGAGACATCTGGGAGATGGACAGGCGGCCTGCATGAAACAGATGCAAGCTTTGGACATCCCTCAAAAGCAGACGCAGGAGACCGATGATGGATCGTTGGCATGTGGCGATTGCTCGTGATAAGTATGTATTACCATGTATTGCCCTAAGAATCCATCGCCCCTCTGTGGCAGGGCTCAGAGCTTCAAAGCCCTTCCCATCAGGTCGGGCTATGTAGGGCCTGGATTCTGAGGGTGGAACATATATATTGTCTAATATTCACAGCCTTTTCCAGATTCTTGATAGACCTTCCAACAGGTGATTTTGGGACACCCCGAATCACGAGGCTATTTATAGATACCTCGAATCCGGAGGGTGCTGGTATATATCTTGATGGACATTCCAGCAAAGGACCGAAGGTGCTGCTGACCCCTCGCCGCAGGAGCCGAATCCACGCGCGCGGAACTTCTTGGTGTCACGGCATGTGAAGACCCCAATCAAGATCACCGAGGCCGAAGAGGGGCGGGAGCCGGTCCCAGCAGGTTTGGTGATGTTGCTGCAGGATCTTAGAGGAACATTGAGGGAAAGAATCTAGTATAATAGGAGGGTAGCAGAGTAATTGTTGGGGGATGGGCATGGGTGAAGGAGCCCAGATCCAAAGAGAAATTGAATGCGAATGACTTTCGCGTCTGTCTTTTGAGCCCAACACATAATAATTATCGATGTTCTTTCGATGACTTCTTCCTTTACAGTCTGCAGAGGTTGAAGGAAGCCTCAACTCTTTCTGTGGATGCAGTCATGAGTCATTCTCTTGCTGCTTTGGTTTCACAGCGGCTCAAAAAGGACGGCTGAAAGGGGGGGCTTCATCCTCAGACGGATCCTGTCTTTCTCCATGGCGGTCTCCTCAGCCATGAGCTTGCGGCGCTGGGAGTTTGCGGATACCTCCCGTACACCTCGCCTGCCGGCCGTCTCGCCGCGGCTCAGCGCTCGCGGAGCGAAAGCCATGAAGGATATCGGGCCATTAGCTGAAAGTGCCAAGAGGTCGTTGACCGAGCGGACACTGGAAGCAGCAGAAGCTTGGAGCATTCCAAACACTCCAGTTGAGCACTTGTCGCATCCCACCAGGGGCTTGGAGTTGAGCCCTGAGTCCAGGAGTGGTTTTTTTGGCCGCCTGGTGGGTTTGGACATCGAAGCGGAGCTCCAGCGCCAGGCGCTGTTGCTCAAAGGGCTCCTTCGCGATGTGGCGGTGATTCGTGACACCGTGTGGCATTTAGCCGATGAGCGCAGCATTCTCTCACGTGCGGCGCAGGAGGCCAAGGAGGCTCACGACGTGACCGACGCGTTGCGGATGTCCCTCAACGACTTGGCCTCTGAAGTCCAACGGCAGCGCTCCCTTTGGGAGACCGAGGAGTTGTCCAGGGCGGAGCACAGGGAGGAGCACAGCAGTGGACCTGGGACCAAAGGGATCGATGTGGATTTGAGTCTCTTGGAAACCCGCTATGAGGAGCAAAGCAGGGACTTTGAAGCGGGCTTTGAGGAGCATAGACGAAAGCTGGAGGAACGCTTCCAGGAGCACCGTGGCTTTATGCATCAGAAGCTCGAAGAGCACAGCTCCAAGCTGGAGGAACGCTTCCAGGAGCAATATGGTTTCATGAGCCAGCGCTTGGAGGAGCACAGCCACAAGTTTCAGGAAAGCATACAGGAACACCATGGCTTTATGCATCAGCGCCTTGAGCAGCACAGCTCCAAACTGGAGGAACGCTTCCAGGAGCAGTGCGGCTTCATGCATCAGCTACTTGACGAACGTAAGCACAATCTGGAGGAGCAGCACGGTCTCGTGCATTCGCAGCTGGAGGAGATGCAAGCAAGAGTGCAAGATTTGCACATGATGCTGCATAGGGAGGCCGAAAGCAGACGTGGGGCTTCTCGTGAGAGCATCATCCAGAGTATTTCTGCCTGCCTGGCGGAGGAGGTGGCCCAGCGTGCTTGTGAGTCAGTGACGCCTGCGCTGGAGAGGATGGCGGCTGAAGCTGCAGAGGCTCAACGGCCTTCCACTTCACCGGCGATCCTGGGCGGTGGGGAAGGAAGAACTCCTTCAGAGGTCAGTCACATCGGACAGGAAGTGGCCGCGGAAGTGGCATCCGAGCTAATCCAGTTGATCCTCACGGAGTGGCGCGCGACTCCCACCCCAGAGGAAGTGTGAAGCTGGGGCTCATGTGAGAATGTTTGAGACGGAGCAATGAGGACTCAAGAGGAGTTCTCCTTCGGAAACGGCGCTCCTTGAAGAGGAGTTGGCGTTGTTTCAGAATTTCGGATGCTGTTCAAGGGAGGCTGTAGACTGCAGCACCAACTCGTCAGGTGTTCCCGGCTTCCTTTGGTTTTCGTGTTAGTAGGTCAGTCTTTAGATGTCTAACTCCAGAGATTGGTTTGCCATGTAATGCTGTTGATTTCGATCGGTGTTCACCCCTGGCGAGTGCTCGCAAGTAGGGCAAGTGGCACGTCCCAAGCTCACGCACGCGGTCTGAAAGGTACTGCAACAATTCAAGTAAACCTTTGGCAGAAGCAGTTGGTGCATGGCTTGTGTTGGTTACTATGGTTTGCCCAGATACCTTGCCATGATACTCCCCTGCAGATTAACATGGACCCCCAAAACCATTGGGTTGTAGAGGAAAATGGTCTTCTACAGATCATCTCTCAGGTTCTATGTTTAGTTTGCGGGCGAGTACATTTGGTGCACAGAATCAACCATGATACTCATGCCAGTAGTTTGAAGTTGTCCATGAAAGCTGTGTAGCTGAAGAGCGGTGACCTGCTGCCAGGCTTCAGCAAACCCGTCAGCCCCCTTGGAAGCAAATAGACCAAATGGGGAGATGGATGCAGCTGAGGCACAGTGAGAGGATGTGGGAGGAGTGGAGCCTTATTGTGGCGGTTGCCGTTGTGCATTTGTGCATGGGATCCCTAGCTGATTGCTTTGGATATGTTTGGAAGTCTTTTCTTTGCGAGTTGTGTCCTACCAACAGAATGACCCTCCGCAGGTTTGCACAATTGCTTCAGTCCGTGGCCTTCTGTCGCAATGTGTCCTATGTGGCACCCTGCCATGTAGAGGAGACCTTGTTAGCTTGACTGTTTATCTTGAGGGTTCCGGTTGCACGGCAGCCCCGAAGTGGCGCGAGAATCGCGCGTGAGCTTGGCCTGGGGAACCGGGCACCCGACAGCATCACTGGGCGCCCCACAAGCGTCAGGCAGCCAGCGCAAGAGGTGAGGCTCCTCCCGAGACAAAGGTGCCAACATAGGGCAGAAGCATCGGAGAAGCTGATGTTTTGGAGGAGCGTGTAGTTTTGGTTGACACAAGCGGGACTGAATGTTGAATATAGTGTTCGTTTGTTGTCATGACATGTTGTGTTACTCTTACAAGTTAAAACCAAATGCGGTGTATAATTACTTATATAGTTGCGTATAATGTTATTTTTCAATCAGTTATGCAACACGACTATGTCATATGTCAATGTAGGTTTGTCCATTTGTTTGCAGAGCTTGATTCATGCGATCAGCTGGTGCAACACTTTGGGCCCATCGGCACGAGGTTTGCGAGGCTTCAAGGGAACGATCGGAGATGGCCTCAGAAAAGATGACAAGTGGAGAAGATGCAGCAGAGGCACAGTGGGAATTGTTTTGAATGTTGGCATTTCTTTTTACTCAAGCTCTTTGGTCCCCGGAATACCCTTGGTTGAGAAGGGCAGCAGTCAAAGACCTACTAGGCGGTAGTCCGCTTGTTTTGAGAACACACGGCATAGGTTTATGAAGTCGCAACTTCGCAGCCGCTTAGGATGTACAACCGATCCATATCAATTATTATCAACTCACCTTTTCAGAGTAGCAAGGAGAAGGACCGTGCATCTAGCATAAGTTCTAGCTAAGTGTTTCAGCACACATATATATATATATATATATATATACACTCTTTAATTGCTTGGTGCTTCCCCATGCCTGAAAACACGTCGATTCAGTAGTTCGTTATCATTGCCAAGCTTTGCTTCGATTCGCTGCGCAGAGGCGCCGCTCCGCGCGCGGAGCGCCTGCGCACCCCCCGCCGAGACAAAGATGCCAAGTGGGGCGGAGGCAGGACGGCCAAGCGCACCGGGCCCGCATGACGACCGGTTAGGGCCTATGCCAGTACCATGTAACGGTCGGTAAAAGATTTTGGAGAAAGGCTCATCAGGCTCATCATAACAAATTAAGAACAATAAAACATAGTTTATTAAACAATATTATTAATCAACATAACTGTAATCGTAGTAATCCGCTGGGCCCCTGGTAATGGGATCAAACCCAAGTCGGGGGGTGTTGGTCGATTCCAACGTCCAGTGCGTCCAGTGCGCAGGACCCATGAAAGCCTGTCATTGACTTGGGAAGTAGATGTAAATTCACCTAGAGTCGAGGGGAAGTTGTGTGAAGCAAGGAGATGTATTTGGCAGCATGGGTCGTAGTTCCGATTTGAGTCCACGTGTGGAAGCCGTGTGGCTTTCTTCCGCGCCGGACGCGGGTCAAAACCAATCCTGGTCGACCGGTGACAGATGAAGAGATTCCTCAAGGGAGATGTCCACCTCCCATGGTTGGTAGGGTGAGGTGCCATGACCGCCATATCCTTTGAGCTGCGACCGCCATCCATCGAGTAACAAAAACCATCCAGCTGAAAGCCTTTCAGCTGCGAGGCTTCAGCAAAACTGTCAGCCCCGGAAGAAAAGATGTCAAGTGGTGAGATCGATGCCACAGAGGCACAGGCTTTGATCATGGAGTGTCAAACTCGTGACAAACTCGTGCGGGTCAAACGGTCAAAACATAGGAAAAGCTCATGACTACTGCAAAAAGCCTGGTTAGTTCACCTCACTGGTAGGCCATGTTGATTTCGACCGGTCAACCAGTCGGTCCTGTTCGTTTGGACCCATGTTCACCGTTTTGTTTCGTCGAAGGAGTCCTGGCGGGATGCAGAAGAGCCTCACTAAACCTGAGACAGATAATATAGATGGATATGATATAGTATATACTATATATGTATAGTATATTATATAGATAACAGTTGGAAATGAAGCCTCATGTGTGAAAGCCACAGTTGGATGGCAAGGATTTTTTGATATGACCAGGCAAAACCAAGCATTGGTATACATACCAGCACCCTCCAACAGGTCCCCTCGGGTGGCTTTTGGAGACTTAAAAGTGGCGGGTGGTGACCTGCATGTGATTGTTGTTATTCCATGTTCCTGCTCCAAACGCCGAAAGAAAGTGTGCTGGTACTTGAATGGAGCGTGAGGAGGTGCTTGATTTGGTCTGGCAGACCCAAAAACAAGCTTTCTTGGGGGCCAGGCTTTGGAAGGCAACGACCTGCTGGCCAAGCTCGTTGCACCTTGGAAGCAGGTCAAGTGGATCCCCTCCGGGTGAATCTGCCGTCTCTTGACGAGCCATTGGTGTGGTGTGATGACGTCTGGAGGACGGTCGAACGGAAGGCCTTGAAGATGAGACATGTCGAAAAGACTATCTTGAAATCATTGGACCATTGGAGAGTATGTTGTTCACAGGAGAATGAACATCATGAGTGAACATCATTGTTATACATTGAATGTTATGCGTATCAATATGTTCCCTCTATGGATCCCTATGGGGGTTATTTGCTTTAGGGATGTTTAAGGGATGATCTTCGTTCCCTCACGCACGGGCGATCAAACTCATTGGTCGGACAACTACGAGTTCCGGAACGAATCCACATTCCTGTTTCAGTCTTCCTGTTCGGTGTGTTTTCCTGTTCCTGCTTCATTGATACAAAGAAGAAATGCCGCAGAAACTCCTTTAAGCTTGATACGTTGTATCGTATGTCATGTTTTCCTTTAAGCTTCATTGTGTTACAGATTGTTGTTACGGCATGTCCACCCACCATGCGCCATGCCATGCAATGTCCTGTCAGGCGTCCGCCAGCAAGGACTCGGCTTCCGAAGCGACGCAGAGACAAGAGGCAAGTTGGGGGGCTCGGATAAATATAAAGAATGATCACTCGACATTCGACTGCATATTTATTTTATTATTGATATTCTTGAAAGGTACAGTTGGGAGGCAAGTTGGGGGGCTCCATGTACCTCCTGTATACTCCGTTGTCAGAATTTCAGACACCGTTTTTTGAAAAGTGCCAGCAAGCAGGCCAGGATATAATGATGGTAATCGATGCGAGGCCCAGAAAAGGGGGGGCACTCCGACCTATGCTTATACAAGATGTGGGTCCGTAGACCAGGATATCTATCACATGTTCTTCGTAGAAAGTTCCCTCCGATGCTTCACATTAAGCAGATCCAAGCAGTGATGTGTGTACTGCGCTCGTGTTTCTGTTTCCAGTGACACAGCGTTGGGGGGACCGAGACAAGTTGCAGACTGTTTGGACAAGTGAAGATAGTCTATGCATGTGGTGGACGTTGCAGAAGACACGGCCGATTGCTGAGATTGACCAAGTGTGTATGTAGCATGGTATGCTCCCCCTGTCAGGCTTCAACAGACGCAACAGACCAATCAGCTGCCCCACAGTCAAGCAGAGCGGATGAGGCCTCGTCCGATGATTGGCTTTTCATGGCCTTTACGAAGAAATCCTGCACCACTACCGCCCACCACACTGCAGATGTAATCTCGATAGCAGGTACTCGTAGTAGAGAAGGTATTCATCAGATCTGTCGCTTAACTCTAGGAGTTCAGGAACTGAACTGTATTTTTTTGCACAGGAGATGAGCCAAGTTGGGTAGCTTTGGATTCCCTACTACGCCCGAACTGGGCATGTTGGCTTCTTCATTGTCACCACCCAACCCGGAAGCCCAGGCGATGCCGGCTTTGTCACCGGTCTCAGAGGCGGCACAACGAAGTCACCGCCGTCTCAACAAAAGTGGTCCGAACTCGGCGGTTTTGAGTTTTGTTTAAATGGCGTCTCCCCACGGCGAAAAGCTTTGGTTCTTAAATGTTTCTTGGCATGGCTTTGATGGGATCTTGACACTCCATCAACTGAGCTTCTGAGAAGGGGTGTTGAGAGAAGAAAATAGAGCGAATAGAGGAGAAAAGGTCTCCCACGTTATCATTAAGCCCGACTCTTATTTGAGGGCAAGGCTGGTCAAGAGGCAGACCTGAGGATTAAATGGAAGGAGAAGTGGATAGGCAACGAGTCTGTGGGTATAGTTGCAACGCCAGTCAAATCACCCCAAACTGGAAGATAAGATAGGCGTATGTTTCACATTTACATCGCACTTCGATACCACTTCCGTTTCGCCTTTGTCTGAACAATCACGCAGTTTTCGATAGGAACTTGACGGAACATACTTCAAAAGCAGAGGAATAACATGTTATTTGCTTCTTACCGGGTCTTAATAACATCTATGTGGAACAGCCGCGGTCGAATTAAGACGTCCATTTCACGTGGCCAGTGTGAGACGGCCAATTGTCACCCTTTTATGTGTAACAACTCAACAGCTTTGGAGGAAACCCGACCGTGTGCCGACATCAGTGTTTTTGCCGGATTCTATGTGGAACCTTCAACAAGAAAAAACATTTTCCCAAAACAGGTGTATTGAACTGAAAACACCCGTCCAGTGGCAGCACATGGACGCTTGGACCATCTTGGACCTATACGGTCGAAAGTACTAACAAGAAGAGTCACTGTGTCCCAGCTCTGGGTCAGGAGGCCAACGACTTGCTCTCCAAGCTTGTTGCAGATGCCTTAGAGAAAATATGAGAAACTGCTTTTTGGGATGAACAGATTGAACCGCAATATGTGTTCAGACGTATTTCGAAGTCTTTGCATGTTCGACATAGGAGATCCCGAATCATTTCACCTGCACCGTCAGGCTTCAGCGAGCCAGTCCGGCGCGGAGGTGCCGGTCCGCAGTGCCGGTCCGCTGTGGGCGGACGGTGTGCTTACGGTCAGCGCTGATATTGAACTGGTGATCAATTGGGGGGTGAACAGGAATGTAAGTACAAATGATATTCGTGCTCTACTGTTAGGCCATGCGCTTTCACTTCTCATCATTTACGAGGGGGGTTTAGGTTTGGACTCAAGCCGCATCAGCACAGCGTGCGCAGTTGTTTGTGGAGGCCTCATCCGCATCGGGCCCTGTGGGACCCTCGCCATCAGAGGTGAGGTCGTTTCAATCTCTTGGTGTGGGGAATAGGCACAGAGGTTCATCTCACTTTCAAGCACTGAAACTATTGAAGGACAGACGAAGAAGAAACACGGTGTGGCATGGTGTGGCCATGAGCATATAGATTATAGATAATAGATATAAACTATGTATGATACGGTTGCTGTTTGTCGAGGTCGATGGTCTCAAGCAGGTTCATGTTTGTTTGACCAGTCTAAGATAGTCTAAGAATCAGCCCAAGCAAACAAAAGGTGCAAATGAGGTGACAGACAATTATAGTTATTACAGGTCCTGTTGAGTTGCTTGCCCCGCAGAAACAAAAGCCTGCTAACAAGCGTGCAAGCCGTCCTTCCTGCGCGTGCAAGCAGTCAGATCTTGATTGCCAGGTGCCCGTGCGAGAGGCGAGCACCTGAGATTCGGAAGATCCTTTTGACGCGTAGCGGCCACAGGTTGCGTAGGTTGGGCGCTGTCCACAGACCATTAAACTCTTGAGGCCTCTTTTCAAGAGCTTTTGAGAGTTCACTTGAGGATGGGCCAAAATTGCAAGTTGATCTACATTGAATCACATTGACATGATGAGCCTGAACATACAGCAGGATTACGTACCAGTCCAATCCCATGTACTGGGGGAAGAGACTTAGCCTCCATCATCCAGGTGAAAGACACACATGTTGACACATCCGTCAGGTGCGTATCGATTTGTACGACCGGGAGTGACATACTGGAAGTACAGAGTAGTGTCTACAAATTACACCTCCCTGAGAAGACCTGAGAAATCTTTATTGAGGACAGGTAAGAACCTGGAGCCTCAACACCATATAGCTTTACCTTCCCTTCCAGATAGGCCGTGCCCAAAGTATCCTTGGTTTTGACCCAGAGCCGTTCTGCAGGAGGTGACAGCATCCAGGTTGGACACCGAAATCGCAGATGCAGAGGCCGAACACCCCTCACTCGCTGTGCGAGAAGCAGTGCAGAATTGGTTGATTTCCTGACCCAATTCACTTGTGCAAGCTGTTGGGGGGGAATTTGGTTTCCTAAGGCAGTCAAAGAAGAATAACTGAGGAAGTCAGTTTGTTTGTTGGTCACTTAGTCATTCTTAGTCACATGATTGTCTTGCAATGCCTGTGATGGCTGGAGGCACCAGCGCTGGAGGACCCAAAGCTATTCGTGGCGGATAAATCTGATGGTCAAGAACTGCTCAAGTGTCGAGTCATGCCTTTGAGATGGTCCAGTATGTTTCCTCACCCTCTCCTTCAATGTCTTTGGTTTCTGTTGTGTGGACAGCATGTGTTCCTCCACACAGGAGGCTTCTTCAAATCAGTCCCTGCGCTTGGAAACAGACCTTGGTGCAGAGGCCATTCAACCATTCAGTCTTTTGCTTACTTGTTTCTGTGACACGTCACGGTCCGTTTTCTTCATAGCACAGCTGGGTTGTTGTAGCACCGAAGCAGCCTCAATTTGGGCTACAACACCAGGATCAGTTGTTTTTCTATTTGTAGGACGTGAGACTCAACGAGTGTGGACTGATCAGGGTTCTGGACCCGATCACTGGCATTCGTGAGTTGGAGCTATGAGTTGCTTGATGTCCCATATCCTTGATTCAAAAGTTTTCAGATAGATAGATAGATGTTTGCATTTGTTCACCATGAGAGTGACCCGCTAAAGTCTGCTAAACTGATCGATATGTATATATATATATATACGTGATATGTGATAGATACAGTATAATAAAATAATACATATACATATAACATATATGACTTTGTAGACTGCTCTCTATGATGACCTACCAACGGTCATATCAGATTGTTTGGATTGGATTCCCTGTTTGGACATTGGTCACTGCCCGGAGGCACCAGCACTGGAGGACAGAACTCTTTTGCTGTCGCTGAAGAAAGCTCTTCAAGATCGAGAGCGAAAAACTCACTGAAACACTCAATGAACAAGTTCTAACATGTTTAAGATATATTATTCAAGTCTATTCAATGACGAGGGTGTTCCAGGGTTGGTGAATAATTTGTAGTCTAGCCATATGTGTTTCAACCTACTTAAAGTCCTGGATCCTTTACTCAAGATCGTCGCAGGACCATGCAGCAAGCAGCAGTCGGAGCAGCAGTGTCTCAGATGGTCAACAAACAAATTGGCCTAGATACTTCAAAGTGTTGATTCCGACCGCAAAACTGCGAGCTTACTGTTCCTGTTTGGTCGTTTGTGCCCTTGTCCTTGCGTTTGTGGGGCCACCCCATGACTTCTTTCTTATCCAAGAGAAGCCGGACCTTGTGCAAGAAAGGCCCATCAGTTGGCACCCATTCGAACAACTCATACTCATTGGGGGGTGACTTTCACTTCCCTGAGTGATTTACTTACCCACATTGAGATACCGCCAGTCAATTGCCCCGACATGAGCCAAAAGATGAAGAAAGTCATTCTACTCCTTCCATCTCCTGCAGTTCAGACTTCAGACATTACATCATCACACGGATCATCTTCGCTTTCAGTCAACTTCAGAGACCGCCTCCATATGATGTTTACTAGTCCAGTGCCAGCCGAGGCAGTAGCCAAACCAATCCAGCCTTGCAATCCCTGCGCCAGCGGATCGACGTGGGGCTCTTGGTGTTGCACCGGGCGGAGCAGCCGTGGAGGTCCATGATCCGGTGTGCTTTCGTGGTAGTTCCCAAAGTCAGTGAGGTCAAGAAAAGGAACATGACCACGTTTTTACACATTTTGCATCGGTGCGTGTGCTACTGCGGCCACTGTGGGCCAAGGCCCAAATGGTGGAGCAAGACACAAGACTCTATCTACTTGGGGGTTGACCAGTAGCAACACAATTAGCGCTAGCAGTGTTCTGCTGCTTATTGCTGCTTGATTTCCTTCCATGCGCGAGACACCCTTGACATCCCTGGTGGGGCTGAGGCCTGTGTGGCTGCCCAGGGCCCATTGCGGGAGAAGGCCAATGAGATGTTGAGATCTTTGCATCACCATCGAGCCTCTTGGTGTCCAACAAGTGACCATGACCATAAAAACAAAGGTTGACGATCAGGGAATGAGGAGCTAGGATGATTGAGGTGTCAAGAGAACAGATGCTGCTCCCTTTATATCAAATAACGTTCGAACTAGATACAGTAATATGGTGTTTCGTTTTCAGTTGCAGACGAGTTTGCTTGATTCCGTGACGGATCAGTTGACGCGTCAAATAGAGTGGACGGATCGGCACCGACGGAGGGTCCTGTTTTTTTGAAGGCGCAAGAAGGCATGATGACCGCGTGGGCGGGTCTTTCATGAGGCGGTATGATTGTGGCATTCAAATCCTGAAGGACGACCGCGAGGGAAACCTACCTGGAAGCAAAAGCACATCGAGGTGGATGGCGATCCAAGGATCGCACGGACATGCACGGAGCATTTCCTGGCGAAATCGGTGTGAAGAGAATTCGCTAGCGGCGGTACTCGTAGAATTCGTGCAATGCTTTGGTTCGAGCTACGTCAAAAATCACCAGGCTTCTGAGATTCACTTGAGCACTTGGTGAGATCACACTCTGACAACCCTTCAAACCACGTAAATCGGACAAACCAACCGGTTATGGACCCGATCCACAGAAACAAAACGAGAACATACGAGAACACTCTTCATGTGAAGCATGTTCAGGAAGATGCAGGCCCTAGAAGAATACAGCTGGGGTGTTTTTGTTTCGGAATCGAATCAAGGGATGTTGATCAAAACTCCACTTAGTGGCCTTAGTGTACCAAGATGTACCAAGTATATCCGTACGAAGTCAACAACTAACTTGCTGTATGTGTTCTCCAGAGTCCTCACCGAGCCTCCTTGTTTTGTTTGTTTCTCAACGCTTTGCGGCTCTGCTGGAGCGAATTTGCCGGCCCAGGCGACCTTGAAGGCGGCCCGAAAGGAGGTCGACCGCACGGCCCAATCCGCTGAGGCGATCGGAGGAGTATTGAAGGGGGGAGGAAGAGGTCAGGAGTGGAGGAAGAGGGAGAATGGAATCCGCCATATTGTGTGGAGTCCATTGGAATGCAATGGAGTCCAATTGTTTGTTTTTTTTTGTTTTGTTTTTTTTCTGTGGCATTTGGCATGTTCAACCACCCAGAATGAAGGGCTGGTGTGCGAAAAGCAGCACTTGATCTGGTGCACATGGAACTGGTACAAAGATTACTGTTGGCGTTGGTGTTGGTTCAATTGCTGTTGGGACTTGTGACTGATGTGCCGAAGTAACGATACCAAATGTTTAGACGTGCCAGTGCCATATTCAAGACTTTGATGACTGACATGCATTGCCTAGCCCAAAACAATATCCATTGAAGATTCACACCTTCACCTCAGTCAGGTGGCGGCCCTGGTGCGACAAGCTCAACTCTTGGCAGAGTTGAGACACTCGCATAGCCAGGCGCTTGCAATATGATTTTACAGCGCGGTGCAGCAATATGACCAGGGAAAGCTTGTGAACGTGGAACACGTCAATTGTTCAAAATGCGGCTGTGTTGTTTTGGGATCCTGGAATACCGGTCGTCTTCGGACACATCAATAAAGCACGAGATGCCGAGATGACAAGGACTTGGCCCAGAAGTGCGGCGATTAGGAAGTTACAACGCAAACACCACGTGTTTGCGTTGATGCACTGCCTCAGTGCGTCGTACTATGTCGCGCTCATAGCGGCCAAGCATTATGAACAACATATATAAGTTGGTTCAAAGATCTTCAAACTATACCAAACTAGTGTTCAAACTATTGAAACTATATATGCATATATAATACCTAATGCATATGAAACCTAATGCTGATCTAAAACAATAATCCCTCTTCGTCCGACACGTGCGGATGTCACGTGCGTTGGCAAGGTTTGTGAAGTTCATGCACACTGCATTGCAGCAGCTTGGCATGAAACGCCCGGTGGCTGTGTACATGTTTGGATAGTTACGAACGCGTAGTCTGGACCCTGTATTACTTCCATACCTCAAAAAGCGGACACAGCTTGACACCTATGCAGATGGGGCCTATTCCAACCACACAATTGGAAGATCGAACAGCCACTATACAGGTCATAGGTCGTCCGTTCGCTTGGGTTTGAATGGGACAAGCGAAAGTCACATGGGTTCCACGGTTCCACCCTTGGTTTGTGGGTGTACTATGCTGCGATCAAACCTGCCTGAGGACTGTTTTACTTCCAGAAAGTTGATGATAGACATTTTATTTTCTTGCTGCTGTCGAGAACAGCAGCAGTCATGTGCTTCTCATAGGGTCCAGGTACCTCGCAGGTGAAAGTACATCTAGAAAATGGTCGAACTGGGGCCAAGGACATCCTCAGAATGGTCCTGAACCCTGTTGGCTCGCTCTGGGTCAGAAAAGGGGTTCACCACGTGATCTCCAGACACTCACGGGGGCACATGATCACCGAACCAGGAGAACTTGGACTTGAAGGAAAAGCTGCGCGCTTCCCTGGAGCGGCGTGAGAACCTGGCGAAACAACTGGAACACGAGCTCTCTCTCGGAGAAACGGCACGACCGATCAAGGAGAGGGAGTTGTTGGCTTTGGGGGCTGCTTCGTGGGTGACAGAAGGGGCCCGCATTTGTGGCAAGGCGAAATGGTTGCTTGTTTGGACACGATGCACACTGCATGGAGTCTTAAGCTAGAGCGAACTGCAGGTAAGTTACTTGGGGTTCTCCATGAGCAGGATCAGGTCGACTTGTGTCCTTCTGACCCTTCTGTGGGCTACATTTGACACCAGTCGAATGGTTTGAAGCCACAGGTTGTTCAGAACCTGTGAGCTGGGTGCTTAACTGCTGGTCACGTGCAACAGACTGGGAAAGTCAAGTGAATGACCTTTGAATGTGTGAAAACCCTTATAAACTTGTAGACCATGGGACCATGCATGTGTGTTTGGATCTAAAATGTCCCCACTTCTAAAGGATAGTTGGACTTCCTTTAGCTTACGCCCGGAGCCTACCAAACCTGGGTACCAAACCGACCGGAGCGTCGCAGCGTCCTGCACCGTCCGCGCGTCGGAGGACTGCGGGATTGTCATCGAACCGCCCCCCGGGCTCGGCGGCGAACCGCACCTTCCAGGCGAAGAAAGACACACACTGGTGCGTTGAAAAGAGGACGTTAAGAAGAAAAGGCATAGAGAAAAAAAGGCATATGTTTGTGTATGTATCAGCTTTACACTATACTATATGCCCACATGAGTCACATGAATGTTTGCTATTCGCACCCTGCAGAAGGACAGTTGAGATTCGAAGAGGCAATGCCAGCATATTCCCCAATCACGTTGCTACGATAACTTAGCAGTATAGATTCACTCGCCCTCTATATTCAGATGTCTATAGTGGCTAATACTGTCCTCTCTTCTGTTACATGGAAGCAGTTTCTAAATCACTCCGTTTGTTAGGGCAACTATACCGGCTATGCCCCATGAGAACTCTTGATAAATCAAATTCCAAAGACTATGTCACTATGTCAAACAATTCTTTGGACACTTGGGATAGAACATCCACATCGACAGCATGTTGGACCATCCGCTAGATCTAGCGGCTCTATAGATGCCGGCTTCGCAGTGTCATGGTGCCATGTAAAGTTGACGAACTCGATCTCCATGCCGATTCCCTACGTGTCAGCGGACCACTCGTGTGTCTCCGGAGGTCTCCGCCCGCTTTCCGACCTCCGGTCGCCCACTGATCGGGCGTGCCCGTTGGGAGGCCATCCAGCCTCGGACAGCGAGACCAGTTCCGGAGAGACCAAGACGGAGTCCGAGCCAGACGGAGTCCGTTCCGTTTCAGGACGACGTCCGTTCCGTTCCGAGAAGAGGTAGATCCCTGAGGGGTGGGGTTGGTCTTTACCAGATCAGGTGGGCTGTGTGGGCTTTTAAGTGTTTTTTTTATATACTGGTCTATCTATCTTCCCAAGCGGGATGGGGATGCCACAACTTTAGAACATAGTGGTGAGTAAAAAGGGGTGTGGCTCCTAATCTTGGGTCCTACACAGAGTGTTTCCAACGTTTTGATACACCAAATTCATGGTGCTGTCAATCCCAATCCATGGTAGCGTGATGAGACCTGCTGCGAACGTCCAAATCCTTGCATGTTATTTAATTGAGGTTAATTGGGTAAACCTGTATGTAAAATGCAACTTAGCCGAGACCAGGAGATGCAGAAGATTGTGAGGACCCAGAGCTTCTTGCTCTTACAAAGTCAGAAGGTCTTTGTGATGATGGAGGCTGGTCGGACTGGGTTGTTGGGGAGATATCGGTCTCATCTTCGGTGCAGAATGGACATCATAGTTTTCTTGGTGAGAGAAGTTGCAAGAACGCAGTGACCTTTGCATCCAAAGAATTCCTGGTCATGAATAAACTATTTCGTATGATGAAGACCTTGAAGTGGACTGATGCCAGCAGTGATCTCAACCATATTTTCTTCTATCTCCTGACTATCCTTCTGACCTGCTCCCCCACCGGATGGATGGGATGCCCCATTTGTCCTGGGAGCGGTGCGCTCGCCTTGTGAGGCAAGGAAGTGATTTTGGACGCAGAGACAGGTCCGGGCCTCACCGGATGCGTTTTTCGCGCCGGTCGCCGTGTCGGAAGGCGCGCTTGCGCCAAGGCGGTGTCGTCCTTTTTTGGGTTCAAAGGCGGTGTCTTCATGCTGGGAACGATGCGTTTGGGGCCCACATTCGTACGCAGGACCTACGGCAGGTCTCCGGCGTCGGCCGTTCGACGGCGCGGACGCCAAGGCGAAGAAATGGCCGAGCAGCCGGAGCCGGAGCCATTGAAGTCCCCACAGGTGGCCGAAGCAGCAAGGGGCGGTCGGCGTTTCGGACATGGTGCTTCCGAGGATGCTAAGATGGGTGTTGAGAAAGGATGTAGCAGTGAACTTACAGAGTTGCTGTAGGGTGCTATACATATAATATCATATAATATCTACTGTAATTACCTACTACTGATACTTACTGTTTGTTTTCCGAACCCTCAGCAAAAATGATGATCCCAATTTGTGGTGGCAGAGTTTTTGTTGGTAGATGGTATGATAAAAACACTCCTTGAATAAGGGCTCCTTTCAGACAAGGGTCCACATCCATGAGAGCAATTCCATTGCCCTGATCCTTCGTGTTGGCCACGAAGAAACACCTGAAGCCTTTGTGGGGAACTCACCTTTTTCACTTTCTGAACCGCACCACTTCTTTCCAGGTTTTACCTGTAGAAGCAGAAGTTCCAGTGCTGCCAGGGGGCCCCAGAATGCTGTGGCATTCCAGCTGCCGTTGTTGCGAACTCTTCGCTTGATGTTCACCCATCCATCCCTTTGGCGTTCCTAGGCAATCACTGCCATTCAGTGCCCAGGAGAGATGAACAACACGCGCGCGCCACCTCACGCGGCGAAAAAGACGCCGGTGGGTCATGTCATGGCATGGTCCAGGTCCATCACTTGACGTCACGACCGTCACGCGACCGAATCACTTTCAAGGGACGCCCGAGAAGCCGCCGACAGCGGGGTTTGTGGTCCACCCGCAAGGCCGGTCGGTGGACCTGACCCCGCCGGGACGCGCCAGGACGAAGCGAATCCGCCAGAGGAGCCAGAGGCCGGCGAAGTCGACACCCAGGGCCATAAACCAATCGATATACACATGATGACGAATCACTTGACCTCAAGAAAACATATATTTCCATCAAACACCTAGTCTGGGACTAATTTGAGCCCCGTTTGTGGTGTGCCTGTTCTTTTGTTTGTATTACTGCATTGTGCGGCAGTTTTCATTGAGTAGATTGCTTTTATTCTTCCGCGACAGAACGGGTTGGGATTGTTTAGGTGCTGGGGATTTGTCCATTTGCTGCTTTGCACAAGCCCACGTACTGCTGTTGCTGGAAAACATCCAGCACCACCCAAAGGAGACAGGACATTGGAAGCCACCCTTTATGTTTATAGGTGAAGCGACATGCATCGCTTGGCCTTTGGACTGTTGATACAAAGACGGGTGGGTTGAGACCGAAATTACCAGCGTTACAACCACAAGAACGACCGGTTATATATAGATTTGAAGCTTCTCTCAATGTCCGTTGCTCACCAATCGCACGCTACGAAGATCACCCCAAGCGGCGGGTTTGGGACTGCCTCGCGACCCGCGACCCGCGAGGTGCCATGCCCTCCGGGCTTGGAGACTGTGTCGACTGCCAGGAACGTGATGTGGATTGTCACCAGAAAAGACAAAAGAAAACGTCCGAGAAAAGACAGTAGGATTATATAGGTCTGACAATATATAGGTTCATGTTCTCTTCCGTTTCACGGCTGTTGAGGTGCTTTTTGGAAAGAGAAGTAGAGATCCTGAGATCCATAAAGATGAACATCCTAGAACCATTGTAGTATACTTTAAGTCTTGCTTCAGTTACAGTATCTGAAATACTGACGAATCTGCTGGCACCTCAAACCTGTATCCTTTTGCTGAAGATATCTCAGACCTACTTGCTGCTTACACACGATGATCGGTGCAAGTGTAGCACTGCCAGGAGTTTGGTCGGCCGCGCACGCACAGACAGCAGGCGAGACCGCTCTGAACTGTGACAGACCGAGGAACACATGAGGAGTAGGAGAGACAGTTAATGGAAGCACTCAAGCTCTCAAAGGAGAACACAACGCATAGCACCGCGCATGAATGCGGAACATGGTCCATTGACGACGAAACATTGGTACCCCTTGCCACATGAAGTGGAGTCCAAACAACGCACGAAGCAGTCGGCTTGGCCATACGTTACTGTAACCATTCTCCAGTCCATGTGGGCCAGGTTCGAGCTATCTCCCTGCCCTTAACTTATACGTTTGAACAAAGTAACAAACACCAGTGGGGGCTGTTGAGTTGGGAGCAGCTCACTCAAAGTCGATGGAAAATGGTTGCTTTGCCGCTGCGGTGTACGGCACCAATGGAGAACACGTGGCATGAACGCAAAGAAGGTGAAAAGGACACATTAGACTAGACAATCAAACACTTGGTGCACTTCAAACTCCATCAGCTTCAGGGAGGAAACTACTGAAGGCTCAAAGTACACTTGCAACCAGTCCACAGCCACGGACTGAACAGTTCTGCCAAGACTCCGAGAATTCGCCAAAGTCATCAAGGCACAGGACTCGCAGTCAATGCAAGGGAAAAGCAGTCACCTCCGGGTTGAATCCTGCTGTATGTCCTGGTCCTGTATCAGTGTTTAAAGCTATTAACCGAGACTACAAAAAACTCTTGCCACGTCGCCACGTGAGACAAAACCAACGAATGAACACCCCAAGGGGGGTGCAACAACATGTGCTGTATATATTTCTATATAGAATTGGCAAGGTGAGATGGCACAGTTCACCAGGGGAGAGGGAGCAGGTCCCCTACCTCAGTGTTGCCTTCCTTCGCCTCAGGGAGTCTGTGGAAGGGACTGGCCGCTGCTGGGTGGTGGCCAGCTGAGTGGGATTGGGAGAGAGGAGAGGAACGCTCAGTTGGTTTCCGAAGTCAGTTTGGTGGAACGGCTCAGATTCATGAATTCATAGCTCGGAGGCTCGGTGCGTTGTTTGGAGCTGAGACTTCATCCAAGTCTGCGGTTTGGGGTCGGCGAAACCGTTCGGAACACCCCGCCGACGGCGGCCCGCTCGCCGACGCATCGGGTGAGGTTTATTTTTGTTGAAGTGACTTGGTCGATCCACACCTTCGCATGAGGTTCCATGGATTCATCATGGATCCATGGATCAATGCATGGATCAATGCATGTGAACGCAGGTCAATGTGCAAGTTCCAATCTCCCAACAAAATGAGATTCCTTCTTGATGTTTCACGGGTGGCGTCCTCAGGTTCTCGAGGGTAGTTTCAAGCGATTGAAAGAAATGGAGAGTCTAGGCTAAGACTAGGGGTTCGATTCTATCCGTGAAATTGACATGACTTTGAGACAAGCCATATGAAGGAGGGTCATGTGGGCGGTGAACTAGCTGAGGCCAAATCCAAGCATGCCAAGCAGATGGCAGGCCAAGACACAAGCTATTAGACTTCTTTATTCGCGCCAACCAACCTACACAGCAGTGCCAAAAAGCATAGTATGAATGGCTGGATGAGCAGGCTTGACATTTATGAGCAGAAAAGTAGCCAGTCAAACATTATTGGCAAGCACCATTGCAGGATCAGAGGTTGTTTGGCATGGGCATCTTGCAGCTGATACGATTACATCCGATTCATACGAGAACAGAATTCAGAATGCAAGAGGACTGCAAATACGTTGCCACAAGCTACACACTTCTGAGCACGGCCAATCCAGTGATGCTTCCATGCAGCTTCCACCGATATTGTGTATTATAGTAAAATGGTTCAAGGGTTGTTTTGCATATACTATCTATTTCTCCGCTTTTCGATGCTGAACAGCAGATGAACTGGTCATCAGGACATCTCAGGACCGGCCGGATCACCCAGTGGCGACCCACTGACCAGACCCGGCCAGGTGCGGACGGTGTTGAAGCACGCCACCTCTCTGCCTTGAAGGTTGGAATGCAGGCGCCCAGACCCGGAGACCGGAGGAGACCGCCCCGGCAGTTCCGGCGGCGAAAGAGGTTCGGAGTTCGTTCGTCTTGGGCGTCGCAAAAAGATGTCAGAAAGGTGAAGAACTTGAACCTGAGGTGCACCGTTCGCATCATGGCTGAATTATATACAGCAGGGTTTGTAATGGTCAAAGAGATAAGTTATACTGGCGTGTTCAGCACATATTGGAGCCAAGAGAAGTACTACTGGATGTTGAGGTTGCATGATTCACGGTACTCGTGCTAGTGACATTTACAGTTGTTGGAGTCATCCCAAGTACTTGCTGCCACAGGTGGGAGGTGTCATCCTTCATTCCTGCTGGCTTGGTGTTTTCGTCAACATTGGCGCGGAGATTGATGGCGCGGGTCCTTGGTGAACCGATGCTGCGGAAGTGCTGAGCTCATTGAGAAAAACAGGGGCCATGGTGCTAGGCAAACAGCGCATACAGCTAAGATCAGCTAAGGGGAAAAAGCTGAACACTTTGGGCTCCGCCATGGCAATCTTGGAAAGCGGAGTAAAATCAATCAAATGATTTGGACCAAATCGGTTGATAGGTTTTACTCCATTTGGTGACTTCCTATGGCAGCCGTGACCAGCTCAAAGCGAATCAAGGTAGTAGCTTGGTATTCATGAAGTACAGTGTAGAACTAGAGGCATGTGTCAAAGAAAGAGCAAACCACTTCCTGAATAGAAATGCACCGATTGCCAAGGCTTTGTGGAAGCTTCCGAAATGCCGGAAGGCATGAATTTTAATGTGCGCGGCCTCAGCATGGCTGGTAGGCCTTCTTTCAGGCCGTCTTTCGAAGATGTTGACCTTTTCAGGTTTGATTCGACCAAATATTGACGCACATGGCCATTATCTTCGCAGAGAAATATGCTTGGTTCGCCAAATGCTTGCGCGATGTGAGGGATCGGTATTACCTTCATCAACCTGAGAAGCGACAGCATTCTCAAGCATTCTAATGATTTAATGCTATTGTCACTGATCGAGAGTGCTCTGACCCATCGGCGCTCGGTTGGGCCAGTCTGATGAGATGCTGAGTTCCTAAACATGCTTTGATGGCACGCTTTTAGCTCCCTCGCACGCGCGGAACTGCGATGTGACCACGGTTTTATGGCAAGCCGTGGGTGGTTGTTCAGGCTCATGTTCAGGCAGGGACTCGAACTCCACCAGCTGTTCCAAATTGTTGGAATTTAGATGAATTTAGCATCATTCATTTGGTTGCAACAGAGAGCACCAACGTGTACTACCAAACTCAAGGACCCCAACCAAAGGAAACACCCTTCTTTCATTGAACTTTCTAAAAATAAAACAACAGACACTGCATATGAGTCATAAAGTTGAGAATTATGAAGTATGAAGAAAGATTGTTCTTAACCCCCCAAATCTATCACCTGTGGATTTGGAAAGTCTTTATTTTTTCTCCTTGCTCCGAGCGCCCCGATCGACCTGGGCTGCTCGTCCTCGCTGAAACGACCTGAGGCGGGGGACTTCGTCACCGGCCTCGTGCTGCGCGAGATCGACCTGGAGAAGCCCAGGCGGTCCAGCGAAGCCGACCTCGAGCCATCGGTGTGGTCTGGGGGGTGAAGAGGCCGCACTTAGGTGGTTGGGTGTTTGTAGTACATATGTATGGAGAAAAACAAATGTTTTTTGGGGGCTGAAAGAAGGGGGGTGCGGGTGGTGTTGGTTGTGTGTGTGTGTTTCGTTTTAAACAAAAAAGGTGTTTCTGGTATCTTTTGGTCAGGGGTTGGAACGGAAAGGGGACCTGACTTCTTTTTTAGTGTTTTTGTTTCTGGTGTTTCCTTTTTGGTCGGTTCGTTTTGTTCTTTGGAAGGACATGTCAGTCGGACGTGTTCTCACTCTTTTGAGAACTTTGAGATGACTGGAACAGAAGCAAACTTCTCAGAGGATACATACGATTTGAAGTGTAACAGTATGTAACAGTAGGGTTTAAATGAAGACCCAATCGTTGGAGACCTTTCATGCTCAGAGGTTGGAGGTGAGGCTGGTTTTGCTATGTTTTGCTTGTGGGGAAGGGACAGTGGAAGTAGATGTTTGCCGAGTCCCGAGGCAAAACCCACAGATGGACAGCATTACAGACATCTGAATGGCTTTCGCTGAAACGAACATCGATCAGTCACAGTCCCTCTAAGCCTGGAGATGAACGAAGGTCCAGCTTCGGTATATGGTACTCATACGGTATACACATGTATATATCTTTAAACATTCTGATGAATCAGTGACCGCTCCGGACCGCTCCTGCCTCCCGGACCGCAGCCAGTAGCAGATCGATACCATGTGCGCTTCGACAAATAGAAGCCGGGCTTGTTCCGCCAGACCATGTCCACTTGTGGATGTTTGGAGTAGGGTGGAGTAGGAGGGAGCAAAGAATAAATCCCCACCACCTCTTACAGCCCCAAATTGATATATTAAAGTTAAAGCACTACTTGAGGTGGTGGAGGATGATTTCCTTCATTGGTACACGGTATGCCGTTCATGGCCCTGTCCCCGCCTCAAGCCGCTTGCATGTTGTGCACAGGCTTTTATTGAGCGCAGCCAACGTAGTCGTGCGTTGCTAGCAGGGCATCAGGTTGCCAGTGTGCGTGACTTGCTGGTATATTGCAAGTGCACAAGATCAACACAACGATCTGATTACAGGATGAACAGATCCACCCCTATGGGCACCTCTTCCGGCTATGAGCCGGTGCTTCATAAGCGGCACCTCCCGTGGCACCATTTCCGTCACGGACCTGTGAAAGACCGAACAGGGAGAACAGGGACCCGTCCTGGTGTGGTTAGGGTGGCCATGAGTGGCCAGAAACACAGCCCAATTGTTGGACAAAGGCAAACTCTCAAAGGCCATTGCATTGAAACTTGGATCGTTTGGGGGGTTAGGACGGTGTAAGAACTGAACCACTGTTAGCCACAACAGGATGTGTTCTACACCTTGTGAATGGTCTTTAAATGATGCCCTAGGTGATTATCACTACCTTCATTGTCTCACTCCAAATTCCCATCAGATGTTGCAGACTGGTGCCCTCACGATTCACTCTCACACAGGGATCCGCAAGAAGGCATACCAGCTGCTTATTTGGCATAACACATCAGCCCCCGAGCGGATTCCTGGATGACTGGGGCTTGGGTTCACCATGTTCGCGCCTCACAGATTGGCCAGCGACGTGTGAAACGCGAAGCCCCCCGCCTCCCGGAGCGGCTGGTTGCTTCGACCTGGCATGACTGGTTGGTGGTGTTTGTGTTCTTGTAACATTGCAACAGGAGACTTGGTAAATCTTGGTGAGCTCATTCTTGGTGGTTGTGAAGGAGGTCGATGTATGCTCTTGAAGAGATCAATGTATCAATACATTTAAATTTAAGTCAGGTCGTGGTTGCTTTGATTCTTGGGTACACACTCAATCATTTGGGGGTGTGGGCACATGCAAACACACGGCCATTTTCCCCCTCAAGACTACCATGCAAGATCGAAACAACACACAGTGCGTGTCGACCAAAAGCACCAAGAAACATGGTTTTGTGTTTTTGTCTCCAACTTGGTACAAAGCTATGTACCGACCATTGTTCTCAGGCCAGGAGTTGCAACCTTACGGAGTCACGCAAATGACTTCGTTGTGCATCTTATTTCGCAGTCGTTTGTATGCATAGGTCCTGCTTGGCTGTCTTGGTAGGTGTCTCGGGCGCCGCGGGTCTTGGAGCTATTGGGTCTACGGAGACAACATGTTCAGAGATCCCAGAGAATTACTCGTCCTGTTCAGTCCAAACTGATGCTCAGGGAATGTATGGGATTGATTGGGATTCGATTAATTATTGTCACGTCCCCATTAGAGAGGATGGATTCAGCATGCCACCTGATTTTTTGGGTTGTGCGAACGCCATGACTAGCTGACTAGCTATGGTCAGTGTCCAGAAAAAATGCCAGGACCAATAGTTTTTCATTCCTAAAAAGCCGTTTATGCCCAAAGTGTCTCCTTTTTGTTCCAATGACGTGCCACCAGGGAAGAATGACTGATTTTGGGTGGCCCCAGTGGCACTGATCTCTTCAGCGTCTCCCAACCGTTTTGCCGGTGGAATCGACCCGCACCTCGGACGCGCACCTGGCGCACCTCGGACGCGCTTCTCGGGTCACCCTGGCGGTGGAAGGTTTTGAACCTCGGCCAGGCGTAAGGAGGGGCCAAGCTGCAGAGACTCGTGGCGTATGAAGAACTTTGGGGAGACCTGTTCTATCTTGTTATGGTGTTGCTTGTGTGTGAAATCTGGTGGAAGCTTGAGAAGTCACAAGTCACAGAAAGTATACACAATATATATTATATAAATATATTGAAAAAGAATCTGGCCGCACAAAAATATTTGCCTGCAAGTAATATATCGATCATTTTGTCTCATATATGTATGCAAAGTCAGCTGTTTAGGGTATTCATGGCGATCCCAGAACATAATTACTTGATGTGGTTCAGATAGTTGTATCTTCCAGCAAAAGCAGAGAACACTGGGCTGTTTCCCTGTAGTTCTCGGGTGGATTTATGATTTCTCCAAGACTGCGCCTCCACCTGGTAGTAATTGAGCTTGGTCATTGGGTTCTGGGTTCGGGTTGTTGTTGTCTTTGAGTCTTGGCCTCGCTCAAGGGGATCACACCAGTGTTCTTCGGTCTTCCGCACTCCTCGAGAGGTTTGCAGATCCGCCTTGGGCGAAAAGGGCCGCCTCGGGAGGGGTGCCCCAGAAGCCGCTGATGTTGACATGCATGAAGTTTAAGGTCATCATGGGTACCACACCGTGGAAGATCGTGATGTATATACTTCTAGGCTACGGCTACATTGGTTCTTTATATTATATGTTGTGTCCGTGCTTCCCTGCAGAGCATTCAGGTATTTCTCTCCCGGCAGATGATTTTGAGACCATATGTACTGCCATCGTTTCCCATCCGCATACGCATGGGGCTAGACACTAGCACCCTATCCGGAGCATTGGAGATGGTGTTGCTGCAATCTGTGGCCCAAGGGCACCCTGCTCACAAAGGACCAGCATGACTGCTGCCCGTGGCTGACATGTGTTTACACAGCGTGCTATAAAGCAGCAGTAAAAGTGATGCAGTGATGCATTGGTTTTGGCAGGAATAATGATGGACGCAACTTACCATGGAGCCCACCCCTACTTGTGTATGCTTATGGACAACATATTAAAGAGTCGTATGTCGTATGTTTCATCAATTTCTAGGATCATCTATGCTGTGGTATCAACTCCTTGAGTATACACCTTAAATCCTAACATGTTTCATCCAGTTGAGTCATCCAGAGCTTTGCTACCCAATCACCCACAGCAACAAATTGAAAAAAGGCAGTGATACGGAAAACACCAAGCATGGCAGTTGGGTGCAAGCAGTGGATTCACTGGGGCATGTAGCTGGTTTCAACCATGTGGGCCGCGCATGTCGGTGCTTTGCTTGCACTGGTGACAACAGCGCAGGTGGAACCGCAGAAACGGAAACTTTCAGGCTTTGAAATGGCAGGGCTTGAGAATGTCACACAAAGCAAGATAGACTTATTATCATACAAGACTTACTATTCTTAAAATTCTTACTGGTTGTGGGACGGGTAGAAATCTGCACCTGTTTCCTGTTTCCTTAAGCTTGATACGATGCTCGTTTCCCAAGCTCCCCACCTGGAGGTGCCTTTGTTTCCTGCGTAGAAAAAGAAAGGTACGTGGAGCACATAGACAGTCGATACCAGCCAACAAAAAGCCGAAGACCTGATTTTAGAAGTACCTGGGGACCGGGGATTTGTTTAACGTTATCTCTAAAGATCTCCAGAGTAATACATTTAATCAATTGTTAATCCAGAGAATGTCAACTCAATAGTCGTTGGAATCCAGTTTAACTTAGGACTCACAAAACAGCCCTCTGAAAGGGCTTTTGGACTTGGGTTTCAGGCTCATGGCTGCTGTTTTCGCTTTGGCTACGGAGCCGGCCAGATGCCTTGCTGTTTGCAGGTGGTGACCTGGGAGGGAATGTTCCTACTCAGCAAAGGAAAAATACATAATACAGAATGCAATCCTGTTGGCTTCACAAGGTTGTCATCGAAGAATGGAACCACAACTTTTGCACCCAGCCATGCCAGCGCAGAAGATGACAAGGAAAGCAATGCTCGCTACAGAATGCTAGAGAGAAGATGATGAAGATGTCATGATGGGAAACCGTGACGTCACACATGATTCTTTCCAAAAATGCCGGAGAGAGCATCTAAAGATCTCCAAGGCCAAGTGCATCACACTTCTTTCGCCAGGTCAACCAAGGCCTTTCCAAAGCGAAGTGCATCTATGCGAAGAAGGGCCTCATGGGTGGCACTATGGGATGGAGGCCGCGCATGAAGTCTTGCATCATGACAACAAGTAATTACATGGGTTTGTATATATATATATATAGCTAGTAGTAACAAGTGCCACGCTAGTAGTAACAGGTGCCTTACTAGTAGTAACAAGAAGCTAATAGAAACAAGTGCCTTACTAGTAACAATAAGAATTTAAATATATATACACGAAAACCCTGTCAAACCACTGAGTTTGTCTTCCTGGTGTTTCTTCCCAGGTGTCTGACTGGGGGTCCTTCTATATAGTGTCAGACACACGCAGACGCTGGCTTGGTTTGGAGTTTGAGCCATTGTTCTTGTTCATAGTTTTCCCAGTGAAGGCAGTTATATATATCCCGGAAGCTGTCCTCTCCCGGATTTGAAGAATGACAGATAAAAGAGAGTCAAAGAAACCAAGACCTCAACCAAATCAAACCAGATC